TTATCATCATCTTTCTTTCTTTTTTTCTGCTTTGAAATTTGCACTGTAAATATCACCGAAAAACATTGAAGACAGACGGACAGAGAGAGAGAGAGAGAGAGAGAGAGAGAGAGAGAGAGAGAGAGAGGAGAGAGAGAGAGGAGAGAGAGAGAGAGAGAGAGAGAGAGAGAGAGAGAGAGAGAGAGAGAGAGAGAGAGAAAAGTAAAGTGACAGAGACAGAGATAAAGAGAGACAGAGGACCACCCCTCTACCTACCTCTTCATCTTCCTCGTCTTCGTCGTCGTCTTCTCCGAGGGTGAAGTTGCCCGAGCCGAGTTCATCCGCTGCGTCGTCCCCGAGAACCGCTTCGTCGCCGGATCCCAGGAGGTCTCCAGATCCGAACGCGAACGGGTTGTTGACGTCCGTGTCTTCGCCTTCCTCCTCCTCGATTTCGACTACGGTAGCCTGTGAGAGCGATGGGGTTTTATTATGGTTTCGAAGGGGAGTGGAGTTCGAGTATTTTACAGTGTTTTTCATCGTTATGAGTTGGTCGACTGATATTTCAGGAGTGTTTGTATAGATGTTTTGTTGCATTTATATCTATGAATGCATCGCGCAGTTTCTTAAACATACCTTCGATGCCTTGGTTTGCATTAAAAAAATATTGTATCGATAAGACTTCAGTGGTATATTCTAATACAGTGGTATGAATTTTTGTCTCCGAAAAGAAGACTTTTACATCGTTTAAAACTTAAAACCTAGCTGTTCACATTTCATAACGCATTTACAGAAGCTAGGGCCTGATGAACAAATCTGACCTTGAAGAACAGAAGAATGAAGTTGATGCAGAAGGCAAGCACCAGAGCAGCGTACTTCAGGTTGTAGAAGTTCCTGGCCAGGAAGCTGACAGCTCGCTTGTTGTAGCCACTGAGATCGACCTGTTGGGCAAAGCACCGTCAGGCAAAGATGTCGGCTGGAAATAAGTTGATATATTGACAATCGGATTAGATACATATTTGTTGTGACTACTGCGCAATCAGATAGCGAGTGGAACTAGAAGTTAGTGTCTGACTAGTGGACTGGCTGCACAGGATTGTGAATGCGTCCTTACCACAAAGCTCCCAATCCTCGACAGGAGTCCTGGGCTTGGCTGGATGGTGGGAGGGGCTGGGGGAGGCTGGGGAGCGGGGGTTTCGGGAGGGGAAGGTTCCTGAGACTGAACCATCGTGGGAGTAGGAGGGGAGGGAGTGAGCTGCGACGGGTCTATTTGCGAGGGAGTGAGGAGGGAAGGATCCTGCGCACTGGGGATGTAAAGAGTGGAGTCCATGAGGGAAGGGCTCGAGGCCTCGTCACCCAGAGCGACCTTCGAGGCCGATAGACGCGACGGGGAGTGCGTGTCGATGGCATGGGACACCGTGACCTGCGACATAAGCGGGTCCGTCGGGATGGAGATCGACAGGACCTCGTCATACTGAGGGGGGTGGCCGGGTGACGACGGCGTGGAGAGAGAGAGGACGGGATCTGACAAGACTGGCGTCGAGGTTGCCAGAGATGGGTCCGTGGGGCTCTCGGAGTGATCGGGGTGTGACATGTCGAATTTCGACTGAACAGACTGCGAGAGGGAAAAGGACCGCCGGATGCTGGCTCCAGTGCTGGCTGACGCCCCTTGTTTGCCGGAGGACTGCGCGAACGTGACAGACTGAGAGGATCGCGGGGCTGCGTGGCCTGAGGACACGAAAGCCACCGTCGGAGAGGACTGAGAATGGGGGAACTTGCTCGCCTTCCGCCCGGGCGTGTCACCTGACGAGCTCGTCGAAGGTGTGGGGGCTGGGGGAGAGCGACAGGTGTCTTTAGTAGATTGAGCAGCCACAGGCGTCGAAGGAGAAGACGCGTGTCGCGGCCGGTGCCGGAGTCCTGTGGGGGTGGATGCAGAAGTACTCGGCCTGTCTGTGTGGGAAGCTGAGGGGCTGCTTATGGCAGGCGAGGAGGTCGAGTGAGAGGGTTTCGACGTCGAGGCTCTGGGCACAGGGGCAAGATTGCCGTCAGTGGTTCCCCCATAGGAAGACAGCGGCGCCACTGCCGGCGACAGAGACAGCAGGGAAGACTCGTGAGACGAGATCGGACTGAAAGAGATGATGCCAGAGCGCCGCAAGTCTTCTCTCTCGGCCGCGGCCGCCTCCAGGTTCGCGGCCTGGCAGTACGCGATGGCCTCGTAGTCACTGAGGGAGTAGGAGACCGCCGAGGAGGAGGCGGGGGTGGGCATGGTGGGCACAGTCTGGCTCTTTCGCATGTGTGAGCCTGACGTCGACCCCGACAGTGCCAGGAGGCCAGCGGTGGTGGGCGAGGTGGCACTGAGGCCAGAGGGAGTGACTGGGGTGTGGACGGCGCTGTGCTCAGGGATGGCGGGAGGGTGGAGACCCAAAGAGGCGGAGTGGGGAGTGAAGGACCCCAGAGGGGGAGGTGAGGAGAGGGGAGATGTCTCCTGCTGGTTAGCGTGCGAGGAAAGCAAAGACAGTTAAGTGATGTCGATGACAAAGCTCTACCAACTATTCACGAATGTTATTTAATATTGCACGCTTACAATTACACTCTAGTACTGATTCTACGTCACACTGTTAACACTAGAAAGCCCCAGTGAGAGACGCAAAACATATGGTGATCACACAAGAACAATTGGTGTTGTAGCGTTACTTTGCTTTTGGTTATGTTAGCCAAAGCATCTCTACGAAAAGTTTTAATCTAGTTGCAAATATGCATATCAGAAATGAATGACTAATCAATAGACAAACAGGTGAACGTGTCATGTATTTGCTTATTTTGAGAGAATGGGATAAAGTAAGAGTTATCTTCAAAATCAAAGATCCAATTTTTTCCCTGTTTTCTTATGCATGTGTATATGTTGTTTTTATATAGGAGAATATGTTTCTAAATTCAAATGCAGGTCAGTCTTATACAGTTCATTTGTTTATATGGTTTATCATCTATAAGCTGTTTCTATTAATGATTTTAATCTTCAAAGTGGCATGCCTGCTCGAAATTAAACTGAATAAATCTAATATGTATATTTGTATAGCTACAGAACACAAACAGCACACAAGACAGCACGTGGCACAAAAACAAACAAACCAAAAAACAAAAAAACAAAAACAAGTATAGCACGGCTGAGTGGAACCTAGATCACAGATTCGCGGAACAGTCACGCACACAAGTTCTGCCCAGCGACTGAAGCCAAGAAACACAAATCTGTGAAACGCCCTTCCTGAACCGGGCCGCGCTCTAACACGACTCTCGGTGCGTGTGAATTGAACGAAGGGAAACGGAAGAGGAGGTTATTTCGTCCTCGTCGGGGGTTCAGGCAGACTCACCTGAGCCACGGGTGGAGGTTCTGCTGCGGCGGAGCTCTCAACCACCTCGGCCTCCTCCATGGCGGCGGCCTGTGCGGTCTCCACTTCCTTCTTCTCAGCCAATCTGTGGCGGGGACTGCGTTAGTGATGTCCCTCGGCGTGTGTGAGTGTGTTGGTGTCAAGTGTGGTGTGGTGTGGTCTGTTTGTTTGTTTGTTTGTTTGTTTGTTTGTTTGTTTGTTTATTTGTTGTGTGTTTGTTGTGTGTGTGTGTGTGTGTGTGTGTGTGTGTGTGTGTGTGTGTGTGTTGTGTGTGTTGTGTGTGTGTGTGTGTTGTGTGTGTGTGTGTGTGTGTGTGTGTGTGTGATAGAATTATAACATTACAAAATTATGCACATGAGTATCATCACAGGACCAAGAGAAAAGCATAATACCACCTGGCCGTGTACACAGCAGCTCCCTGCTGCGTCGAAACAGACGAAGAAGGAGGAGGAGGAAGAAGAGGAAGAGGCGGAGTAGGGAAAAAGATAGAGAAAGAAGAAAAAGAGATGAAAGACAAAATAATACAGGAGAGAGAAGTCGATGATCCGATGAAGAAGACAAGGCAACAGAGAAATAATAACAATAAGGAGACGAAATACAAGAAGATGGAGACAAGGAACCAGAAAAAGAAAAGTCACATGATATTTTTCTTAATCCTAAGAAAATGAAAATAAAGAAACAAAAAAAAAGAATGAAAATTAAACACACGGGAGCGGCACCCATGCAACAGACGTCCAGTCTATTCGTCACACAGAAAAAAAATATAACAAGTTCATCATTGCGTTGCCAAAATAAACAGAGGATTTTTTTTTCTTGTCTTAGGTCTTTTATCGATATGTTTTTTATATTGAGGATCTACGTCAACTTCAGACCTCGTGCTGTCACTGTGCATCGGTCAATAGAATTTAGTCTGCGAGAATCGAAACCAAAAACAGAAGACGATCAAACGGTTATGCGGATTCAGAGAGAAATAAATTAAGGAGGGAAATTTAAATAAGTTCTGATTGAAATTCACAGTCAGATACAATGAATGAAAGTGAAAATAGTCAAGGTCAGTAAATAAAAGAAAATTTAGAAATCTAAACTCAAGCTAAAGAAAAAGAAAATCTTTATGAATTGTCTTGTTTTCTCCATTTCATGATTTAAAATATGGTGTTTAAGATTCGTAATATATATTCGAATTTCTTTTTAAAAAAGCAGCAAGACAAAAATAAATATAAGTAGCCGCGAGGGAGGAAATATAATCCAAAAAGAATTTTTTAAAACCGGGTTAAAGAAAAGGAAAATGTTAAGCAAGAAAAAAGCAAAAACACTTTAAAAGAAACTAACGTGTCGGTCTCTGGAACATCTCCTTCCTCTGGTCTAAGATATTAATCAAAAATTAATTCAAAGACCAAAAAAAAAAGAAAAATCGATCACAGAATAAAGACACAGTAGCTGAAAAAACATGTGTTTTCTTCTAAAGACTGGACTACATTAGCAAGCAAAAACAAATGCAAAAAATGCGAAAAATACAAGATAAGTTAAATTACTACATTGAGATAAAAGCATACAAGAAAAAATGTGTTAAGATGAAACACTTTCTACAAAAAAATCAAAAACTATTTCCTACACGTAAAGTAACAAAATGTAAGTAAATACAGTAGTTCAAAAAATAGGAAACCTTTTTCCAAGTCTACTTCATAATTGTAAAAATAAATACATTCTTTTCCATGTTCGAAAATTTATTAAAAATATTCATTTACTATCAAAGAAAAATCTTAAAGTAAAAACCACCATGAATGAAAAGAATAAAAAAAGCGAAAAAAACGTCTATAACTAAAAGCAGTAGAATGAAATAAAATAAAAAAGTAATTTCTTCCATCTACACAAATAAAGTAAATGAACAAATACAATAAAAAACATAAATAAATAAAAAGACTAAAAGGCAGTTGCAGTCAGTAAGCAGTGTGCATGTGCGTGTGCAGTCATCATCAGAGAAATGACGTCATAAAAAAACAGCGCTCCTTCACGTCAGCCGCTACGCCACAGGTTACCACAGAAGGGAGAAAAAAAGGACGACTTGTGTATGAAAAGAAGAAATAAAAAAAAGCAGTAGCAGAAACACGTGTATCGGGACTAACTTGGCAGCCGAGATCGCCTCTTCGGCAGTGATGTCCTCCTTGAGGTCAGCCAGGGCGTCTAAGATGGGCTTCACCTTCTCCTCTTGCGTCAAATCCGCGGCCTCCAGGGATAATCTGGATCGAGGCAGTGCACGCGTTAACACTGGCGCCCTCACTACTCGACAACACGGCGGACCGGGAGAGAGGGCAGGGCAGGCGGCCTTCTCGGAGGGCGGGGAAGGAGGTGGGGGCAAAGGGAGGGGCGAGGGAGGAGGTGGGGGCAAAGGGAGGGCGGGAGGAGGAGGTGGGGGCAAAGGTGGAGGAGGTGGGGGGAAGGAGGACGAAGGAAGAGAGGGAGCGAGGGCGGTTGGAGGGAGGGAAGAAAAGGGAAGGAGAGGGAAAGAGAAAGTGAAAGGGAAGGAGAAGGGAAAATGAAAAGGGAATGGCGAGGGAGAGGAATAGGAAGAAGGAAGGAGGGAGGAAGGGAGGTAGGGAAGAGAAAAGGGACAGGGAGGGCGAGGTAAAAAGGAAAGGAGAGGAAAGAGAGAGAGAGAGAGAGAGAGAGAGAGAGAGAGAGAGAGAGAGAGAGAGAGAGAGAGAGAGAGAGAGAGAGAGAGAGAGAGAGAGAGAGAGAGAGAGAGAGAGAGAGGCTGATTTTGACTCATAAGATTTGAAAGATCCTCTCCAGAGAAGCGCCGACGGGGACAAGGCCAAGGGATGATGAATGACCCAAAAACCACAGATGGTGAACAACCCGTTACACATTGAACACAAACAATGCCTGTGTCAATAAAGTGAAATTACATTCATATTCCATTGTTTCAGGGATAGAATAAAATTTCCACAGAAAAAAAAACGAATGCAAAAAAGAAATGAAATCAAATAACGGCCAACAGGAGTCTACAGGTGTACGAAAAGACAAACACACTACAAGTGGGAATACTATTCAAGGACCAAAACAGTGACAATGCAAACAATGTGAAAGTACAAACAAGCCCCTCCTCTGCTTGAGGAACAGCTCTGGTACGAGACAAAACGTCTATACCGCACATAAACACGTTACTTGCAAGTATTGTGAGTACCATGTGAAGACATATACACACTCTGTACAATGTGGGTACAATTTTGGAAGGTAAGACGACAACAACAGGAATTTGTGGGGAAAAAATCAACATCTACTTGCGGATAAGAGGTACCTCCTTTGCCCAAAGACTCCCACAGGCGAATCTATAGGGCGTCTAAGACCGTTCAAAACAAGTCCTTAGATCAGAAATGTTTAGTTTGTGTTAAGAACGTCTAAAAGAGGAGTTAGAGACTTCAATCCACGAGGAAAGGTCAAAGAGGAATGTCGGCAACCCTGAAGGAACACCTTGAGCAGATACTTCAGTTGACAGGTTTGACGGTTTTAGAAAATCATTGGTAATCACATGTAATGGGTCAGTTAAGAATAAGCACTAGGGTGATTACATCAAATTCCATTATAAATAAGATTAATCAAATCTTTACATTTTCCTTTAGATTCACAATTATTTTTTTTTAATGTTAGAGTTATCTTAAATTTGTATGTGTATATTCAAGTGCTCGTAATGTTTCACTTTTTCTAACGCGCTATCAGACAATCCGAATAATATGCGCAATTTTCCTGTCAAACGAAAGGATCAAACTCTCAAAACGAATTTCCTTCTCCTGGAAAAGGGATCCTCGCCCCCCTCCCCCATCATTATTTCCCGAGGATGGCGAGCAGAACGACTATTGCTACTGCTACTGCTACTAAGGGTCAGGATTGTCACACTCAGTGTGTTCTACTTTTCAGTGATTTTCATTTCCTACTTTCCATTATCTTTGACTTTTATCTACTCTTCATTACCTGTACTTTTTCATCTACTCTTCATTATCTGTATTCTTTATCTACTCTTTTATTATTTGCACTTTATCTAAACTGCTTTATCTATCAATTTTTATATCTTTATTGTATGTATTTTATTATTTCACCTTTCTCTAACTTAAATTTCTTTATAAAAAAAAATTATTTCTTATAATCCAATGGACTCACTGCTACTTCCACAACCACTAATGCTGCTGCTTCTGTTGCATTTCAGTATCTCAATCATCCTACTGCTTTATCTTCCAATGTATATCTGGGCACTTCATTTCAATAAAATAAGTAACCATTATACAGATACCTAAAAAAAAAGATAAACTCTTTGAAAGGGCTCCAAACTGGTCTCCAGAATTCGGAAAGGGCGAGTCGAATCCCTTATGCATCCTAGAGAGAAGTATCGGAACCTCTTTCAATACAAAACCCAAAACCAAAACAAAAGAAGACTTACTGTTCGCCTTCCGGTTTTTTGCCTTCTTCAGCGGGCGGCGCAGCATCTCCTTCCGGTATTTCTGGTAACGCCGGTACTGCTAACGGTACTAACGGCCCTGCTTTCTCTTCCTTTTCTTCAGCCTGTTGTATGGGAGGGCAAAGGAGGTTACACGATCAGGTATGATACGAAATTAATTAAAACAAAATGGGTACGAATAATGTAGAGCCAAACCTCATCAGTTCCACTTGAAAATTGGGGGAAAATCTGTCAGAAAAAGTAAAGCATCGGGAAATATTGTGGTAGAATTAACCAATCGGGTACTTCCAGAATCCTTTCAATGTTTCCTTCAGAAGTTACTTTAAAGTTCAGCTAAATAGACATAACTTGATCTGACGAAGCTTTAGGAGTCGGGGAATCAACATGGGAAAAAGTCAAATACTTCAGTACTGGAAGTTCCTTACCATATCTATGATTACTTTCTAGAAACATGACACGACGACTAGGCTGATTTTTTTTACATATTTAGCATTTGTAGCTATAATATAACATGTTTTCCTGTTTAAATACATTCTCGATAGCTATTTCCAGTAAAGAATAGTCATCTAAAAGAAGAAGAAAAAAAGATATATATATATATATATATATATATATATATAGAGAGAGAGAGAGAGAGAGAGAGAGAGAGAGAGAGAGAGAGAGAGAGAGAGAGAGAGAGAGATTCCTAAATACAAAAAAACGTACTAATTACTGCTCCTGCCTCAGAAAGTACACACATGCACACGAAACCTCTTCCAACGAACCAAAATCCTGGAACCGGAAAACCCACCTTTTCCGCGGGAGGTCCTTGCATGAGACCCATGAGAGCCTGCCACACTTTGCGCAACACGTAGACCACTCCAAACGCGCTGTGGTACATGATGAGGAACAGGAGGCGACAGAAGCCAACTGCGAGTTCGGTGGAGGACATCTGCTTGATTTCCTTGATCTTCTTCTTGAGGTTGGAAGGAGCGAAGACCGAGAGGCCCTCGAGCATCTGGTCCTTCACGCCTCCGATCTTCGACTTGATCAGGTCCATGCCGGTCCTGGGGGAGGGGAGAGGCGGGAGGTACATGGGGGTTCGTTATAGGGGGAAATCGGTTGTATATTCAGAAGCATGTATATAAACAGTGCCTGACAGCCAGATAGGGTGAAGATACGTTTTCTTTGGTAAGACAAGTATACAGGTATGTGTTCTTTATTCTCTGCTTATGCATTAATTAGCCTTTTAATTATCTTTTCCTCCTCTTTTTTATGAATGTTAAAATATATCGTTTTATATGCACACAACACGAAAATCTAGCCTCACAACCTATCCACAGCCAAAAATACTGAACGCAAAAACCCACTTTTCTTCTTCGTCTTCACTGAGGTACTTGAGGCCGTCCGCGTTCGATTTCTTGGACATGGCGTCGTCTTCCTCTTCCATCAGGGCGGTGGCGTGCTGCATCTCAAAGATGGCGTCCTCGCAGAAGTTGACGAAGGCCTCCAGCTTCTCCTTGTCTCCCTCTGTGACGATGGCGTAGAAGAAACTGCGCTTCGAGTCCTTGATCTGAGGCTTCTCCCACTGGTCGATGTTCTCCTCCTTGATCTCGAAGTACACGCGTTCGATGCGCTTCGAGCTGCCCATGATCTCGATTCGGCCCAGGAAAGGCTCGAAGTAGTTCAGGACAGAGCCGGCAGTCTGGGAGAAAATCACGTATTATTTTCTCTGATATGATAACAGCAATGATGATGATAATGATAATACCCTTGTTAGTAATAACAACAATAATAATAATTATTATTATGCAAATAATGATAAGTGATAATAATTATAACACAACTGATAATGTAAAATAATGATGATGATGATGATAACAATAATAACAATAACAGCAACAATGATAATAATGATAGTACCAATGACAATAACAATACTAATCATACACTTTTCAGCAACAGCGCAGTACAAAAACGCCCCTTGGAGACTGAAGTTACCTCAAGGAAGCGCGCAAGTCGAGGTTCGTTGGGCATGTGTTCGGACAGGTTAGTCAGCAGCACGGCCAAGTTGAAGCCGATTTCCTTAGCCGGGTTGTGGAAGCGCTCGGTGAACTCCACGTAGTCGATCTTGCCGTCGTGGTTCGTGTCGCAGCACATGAGGAGGAAGTTGATCTCCTCGCTGGCGGAGAACGAGGGAAGTCATGAGGAGTTACAGATGTGCCATGGATATGTACTTCTATACTGTGTTCATCTGTCATGGGCATGCTGTTTCATACTATACTTATGTGTCGTGGATATGTACTCCTATACTTCGCGTACTTGTCATCGGTATGCTGTTCCATAGTATAATTATGTGTCATAAATATGTATCTATACAATGCTTACTCGGCATGGGTTTGCTGTTTCATATTATACTTATGAGTCATGGATACGTATTTCTGCACTTTACTGGTGTGCCATGAATAAGTACTCCCATACCACACTTAAGTATCACGAATATGTACTCGCAAACACAGATATTCTAAGCACTACACAGTAAACTGGTGCAAGTAAAGAAATGTACCAACAAAACACTCATACAGTAGATACAAAAGACGTATTCAGAAAAGCAACTCACGTGGTGTAGTTCTTCTGCTGTTCCATCTTCTCCTTGAACTCGATGGGCGTGACAGTGCCATCCTTGTTGGTGTCGAGTTCCTGTGGGATGAAGAGTAAGTCAAGATGCCATCCTTTCGTTGCCATGATAACCCAACCCTCTTTCTATTAACGTCATAAGATAGTACCCTTCCCGCTTTCTTTCTTTCTTTTTCAGTTTTAGTTTGATATACCCTATTCTTACTGTTTATCATGTTTATCACCTCAATAATTCTATTTAGCGATAAAATTTCCCTCTAATTTTATCAAGAACCTCCCTAAATTCCAGCGTTTTTAACATTAACCTCTTCCATACGAGATCTATCCTAACAAGCTCTTTACTGGCCTAATTCACTGCGTTTGGCAGGATGACAGTATGAGGGCTCTCTAATTTTCCATCACTCAAATACTAATTGGAATTTTCTCTTTTGTATTTCTCGTGTTGTCACGGAAACCTTGATCTACTGCTTACTCATATCCAAAGCTGTCACGAAACCCTTTCTACTGACTTTGCTAATTGTTGCCATGGTAATGTGACATCTTTCATGCACCGGGGAACTATTGCTACGTCTAAAGGTGCATCTCTGCTTACATTTCTATTTGTCTAACAGTGCTATCGATCTTTCTAAGCTACACTTTAGGTCACTACTTTTTCCATTTAATGTTAAAGTCACACAAACTATTCACATTTTTTCTCAAAATTAGATTGAATGTATTGAAAACGATGGAAGATTTGAAAATATCTGCTTATTGCTATTAATAAAGTCCAAAACAGAAACTCATCATTAAATGCCTTTGTGCAATATACAAATATACATATTACAAATATGGAATGTAAATTGTAACAAATCGCCAGATAAGAAAAATTATCTATATGCACAAAAGTAGAAAAGAAATTTAAAAAGGCCTTTCTTAGATATTTAAATTACATCAGAGAAAAGCATTCGCAATATCAAAAACTACTCACGTAGAGAAGGTGACACGTCTTCAGTTTGCCTAGCAAAACTATAAATAAGCAACTGCAATGCAACAACTATAATCAATAACTTTTATGTAATATTTTGCTTGGAGTGGACTCGGATTTGTATCATATCTTCCTCTCTGTTGCATAAAATTTTATTTAGTAGACTTGGGGATGTCTGAACATGCAGTCAATTGAAAAATAATGTTTATGATCTTTGCCTTGAATAACTAAAAATAAATTACTTTAAAAAACAAAAACTATGAAAAAATAACTGCATGAGATTCTGTTTCAAGGATCTATGCATATTTTTTCTTCAGCCATCTTCAGCATATGAAAAAAATCGAAAGAAAAAAAACATGTCTGCAACCAAGATGAAAAACAGTTTGCAGGTCAAGCCATTGCATCTGTCCTTCCAGAAAAGTTATCTATAATTGAAAAAAAGAAAATAAAAAACAAGATATATCAATGTTTAAGAACTCATGAATATATATACTTCAAATGCTGACAAAAAAAGGAAATATTATTACTTCCATATCAAGTTTCAACGAACAAACAAAAGCATAAACAATGGATAAACTTAAATATGATTTTTTTGCAGGGCAAAAATAAGCTGTGTGGAAAAGGATGACTGAAGCAATGATTTGATTTTAAAAATATATATGTGGGGAAAAAAGAAGAAAAGAAAAAAGTAAAATAAAAATCCAGTCCATTAATCATCAAAAAGTACCAAGGAAAAAAAAAAAGTCTGCATTTTCCTGAAATTGTCTTGTTTTCTTATTTTGTCTTCAGTAAGCACGCCAAGACGAGACGAGGTTGACAGTACACGACTTTTCTTCAAAAACTCTGAAGGGAAGAACGTACCAGGTTTCGCTACACACTGTATGGCGGAACATCATGCAAATCCACACAGCAAAATACGGTATCATGCACGGCTTTCTTTAACACGTGTGTGTGTCATCACATTTTGGGTTGTTTAGTACATGCCTTTTTTTAATATACTCCTCCAAACTCACGCACACACACACGAGCGCATACAGCTTAATGACCTTTTAAACAAAATCGAGTGCATTTGTGTTTTTTTTCTGTACAGAAAAAATATAGTGAAGACCGTGTACAAAAAAATAAATAAATAAAAAACAGAAAAACAAAAATCCTGTTTTACTAGGCTTTTCACTAGAAATTCGAAGAGAAAAAAGTAAATAAATAACAGCTGTTCAGATATTTATTTACTGGTGTATGCGAGACGGGTGCGCGAGCGAGGAGAGGGGGAGGGGGAGGGGGTACAAACCTGGAAGGTGGTCGAGCTCGTGAGGTCCCTCAGTTTTAGGAACATATCGAAGTACCTCAGAATCAGCTACAATCGTGAAAAAGAATGGAGAAGAAAACGAACACGTAAGAAAAAGAGATCACTATAAATATGTTAGAACCTGGTGGCTATGGAAAATTATAAAAATGGTGCTCCCGGTACTTTTTTTTTATTATTATTTTGTTTTTGTTTTTTGGCGCCTCCAATCCATCAGGGCCGTTGCGTCTTCTCAAACGCTGCCGTGACACATGACCTCGATAAACAAATACATAAAAACAAAAACACAAAAAAAACAAAATAACAACTACGCCGACATTATTTTGCACGTCGATCAAACGCGTAACTAAATAAACTGAAAGAGAATCCCACTATCTTGCCGGAAGGTTGATGTCAGTGGAGGCGCCTTGACTCAGACCAGGACTGCAGTGCGCGCCGGGTGCCGGTTCGACTGCTGTTGAGCTTCTGTCTGACGGAAAAGCAGGAGGCTGAGGAGAGGAGGCGAACCGGGAGGAGAGAAAGACAAAGGGGAATAGAAAGCAGTTGAGAAGATAGTGTGATAGATAGAGATAGACAGATCGGTGGATAGATATAGAGAGAAGGAGATATAGAGAGAGCGAGAGAGATAGAGAAAGACAGAATGTAAGAGAGAGAGGAGAGAGAGAGAGAGAGAGAGAGAGAGAGAGAGAGAGAGAGAGAGAGAGGAGAGAGAGAGAGAGAGAGAGAGAGAGAGGAGAGAGAGGAGAGAGAGAGGAGAGAGAGAGTAGAGAGAGAGAGAGAGAGAGAGAGAGAGAGAGAGAGAGAGAGAGAGAGAGAGAGAGAGAGAGAGAGAGAGAGAGAGAGAGAGAGAGAGAGAGAGAGAGGAGAGAGAGAGAGAGAGAGAGAGAGAGAGACGAGAGAGGAGAGAGAATGAAGAGAGAGAGAGAGAGAGAGAGAGGAGAGAGAGAGAGAGAGAGAGAGAGAGAGAGCGAGAGAGAGAGAGAGAGAGAGAGAGAGAGAGAGAGAGAGAGAGAGAGAGAGAGAGAGAGAGAGAGAGAGAGAGAGAGAGAGAGAGAGAGAGAGAGAGAGAGAGAGAGAGAGAGAGAGAGAGAGAGAGAGAGAGAGAGAGAGAGAGAGAGAGAGAGAGAGAGTTTTTCACAAAAGAGAAAGGGGAAAAAGCGTGGAACAAATCATATTTTCAGTGTGTTGATGTATAGGACATTACATAGATGTGTGTGAGCGAATTAACATGAAATGAGTACAGGGAATGAGTTATGCATAAGAGGACGCGTTAGAGGGAGCGACTAAGAGACAGACAAACAAAACTATTTTTTATGAAGCTGAACGTGGAACGGACACCCGGCGTGGACAAAGGGACACTCGGATATCAAAGAAGCGTGCCTGGGCGCTTTAAGGCCGAGGTTGCAAATGAGGTGTCGCAATCTTGCAGTGGTAAAAAAAGGACGCCGACTTGGCATTCCTGAGGCCACAACTCGTCCCGCTTCAGACGGTCTCAGCTTCCATGACAGCGATTTCATCATCATTATAATTTCTGTTTATTCATCTATCGTTGCTGTTACTTTTGCTTTTGTTTTGTTTTTAATATCTACTTTCCCAATGTTGCTCTTCCATCCCGCCAAGAAGACCCGATGGAGAAAGCATACCCCGCCATCCTTTTGCAAGCGACCTAAAGGAAGTCCCCAATGCCTAGTGAGCCAGCCAGGAGGGTCTGACAGCGGCTGGAGGGAGAGTGTGTGACCAGAGGATCGGAGTGTGAAGGTGGAGACTGCGGCCTACCAGGAACGATGCTGATGTTGTCACCTCCTTGAGCCTCAAGAAAAGGTTGAAGAAACGAACGATCATCTGCATTGTGCGATAGATAAACAAAAGAGTAAAGTTATTCCAATCTTTCTTAGTGTTGGAGGGATCGTCTGTTCAAGGGGGGCGGCCGCACTTGCGACGCGCCCGTACATCTGCTTCTCATTCACTCTGTTTAGTGTTTTGGCTTGACAGATTTTGCCGTTTTTTATTCTCTCTTTATACATTAATTATGACTGACGTGGGTGTGTGTGAATATAAACAAGGGGATATGAGACTACGAGTATGTGTGACTGTTCATATGTGCACATAAACAGATAAGCAGATAGATGGATAGGGAAGTAAATATGCCAACAGATGAATCAACATTTACACTAACAGCGAGCTGGGTATGCTAGACAGATAACACCGATATATAACAAAAGTATATGGAGAATCAGATACAGAATTATGAATGGATAAAAAGTTATAGATAAAAATATATATATACATGTATATGCGCATATATTCTATATACATTTAATTAAAATAGCTATTATTATTATTCATCTTTCTTCTTAAACCTGCAAGGCAATGTCCATAAGTTTATGTCGAACAATATACATACGTATTTCATAGATCTGGAATCCAAAGCTGCAATTAATATCATAATTATACCACACATATATCATGCAAGTCAATATGATTCAATAAGTTCAAATACTGTTTCAGATTGATAGAAATAAGTGTTTGATATTTGACGAAAATGTTTATTAACATACAAATCAATGTTATCAGCATAATCAATTGCCAAGATTACTTATGATTCCTCTCTCATCGATCAAAATCTTCGTATGTTCATTATGAATTAAGTCCCATGTATATAAAAATTAGGAAAATTCAGTTGAGAGAACAATTCGATTAAAGTGGCCAGGATCATCATCTTATATCAAACTGACTTACCTTACCGGAATGACTCGCCCTTTTAGGCTTAATAAAAAAATATATAGTTCTTTGAATCTACCTTTCAAAGCCAATTCTGGAAAATTATATTCTTTATTTTGGTATCTAAAAAAAACAAAAAACAAATTATATTCTCTATTTTGGTATCTAAAAAAACATGATTAAGCCCCGTGTTCTATTTCGAATTTCCCATAATCGTGTCTCTCGAAATGAGGGATTCTTACCTCGACATTAGAAGCGCTTTCCACTAAGGTGTCCACCATCTGCTTACCAATGGTACCATTTACCACGTTACCTGTGAGGGAGAGGACTCGTTAATTTTTTCTTTTCTTTTTTTTCCTTCTTCTTTATAAACAACATGTGCAGAATTGATACAAAATATCCAGTATCACTTTGGTACGGATTTTCATAGAAGAAAAAAATGAGACATATTTTATCAATGCTCCGACAGCTATAAATATATCAGGCGTTTCAAAGGCTTCTTTCCAGGACGCCATTATCCTAACTGCCCCTCGTACATCTTCGACGACGACTTACCCTCAAGCATAGAGAGCATCATGATGACCATGTCCTTCTGGAGGTTGAGCAGATCCTTCAGCAGATCCACCTGGGAGGAATGCTTGCTGAGCTTGTCCTGCATGTTGGCGAACAGGAAGAGAAAGCCGCCGACGGCGTCCCACAGACGGGAGTGAGCGAGCGTCTGCTGGTTGCCCACGCACGGGCCCTGGATCACCTCAGTCAGGGTGTTGAACACCTGCGCGGGGATGAGTGCCAGGAAATGAAAAGGAACAGGAAACAAACCTATGTATAACAACACATGCACATACACACATACATACACGCACACACGCACACACACACACACACACACACACACACACACACACACACACACACACACACACACACACACACACACACACACACACACACACACACACACACACACACACACACACATGTATGTATATTTATACAAATATATACACAAATACATATTTTATATATTTATATATGTTATATGTATATATATGTATGTATATGTATACATATATATATATATATATATATATATATATATATATATATATATATATATATATATATATATATATATATATACATATCATATATATACATATATATATATACACATATACACATATATATATATATATATATATATAGTATATATATATATATATACATATACATATACATATACATATGCATATACATATGCATGTACATATTCATATACATATATACATATATACAAATAATATAAGCGCACATGCATTTGTATATAGATAGATTGCCTTCTAAGCTCTTTCATGTTCTAACCTGGCTAGCAACACCAATGGCCTTGAAGAAGTTGGCCTTGCCGGCAGGGTCAATAATTTCCTTGGACGAGTAGTGCCAGTAGAAGTCCATGATGGACTCCTGAAGGCGCAGCAGGTAGTCGACGGTGCAGTTGATCACGTTCACCGTCGTGGTGTTTCCTGCCTGTGTCCTCAGGTAGTTCTGCCAGTCTGGAATGTAAGTCATGCATGTAAATAATGTCTTTTACCTGCGCAATTAACCTTTTTTTTAGAATGGGAATGAATGACATTAATAGCGAATCATAAGTTCCATCTTTGTTTACCGGGTTTCTAATGTTCGTCTCCCACCCATGAAAGAAAAACTCTGCGTAAACAAAACCGAATGCACGTAAATTTTCTTTTTCAATTAAATCATTCTTCATTTAGTGACGGATGGCGGAGAACGTTCATTAGAGGATCAACAGGACCGCATAATTAAAACTACAGTATCATCTTTATCGATTATGATATTACTATTTATATTTCCCCAGTAAAAGAAACTGCCATTTTGAAATCCTTGTTAAAACCATATTTATTTGTGATGCTACTATTCATATTTCCCACCCATGAAAGAAGCTTCTGTATACATGTCCTCTGTGTCAATGCTACCTGTATTCATTACTGTTTATTTATTGATATTACTGTTTATATCTTCCAGCTATTAAAGAATTTACACTCCCGCCCCTAAAAGGAACTCAAACGATACTTGAACGACAGACAAGTCTTCCCACGAACCGAGGTTGTGGCCTTCACAGGTGAGTTGGATGAAGCGGAAGAGGGCGCAGGTGAACTCGGCGTCGTGCATGTTCTTCTCGCCCGCGCACCCGTCGGCGCCCACGCCCAGGCCCTCTGCCTTCGTGTTGCGCTCGAAGGCGTCCAGGTCGAGCACGGAGCAGGAATTCATGAGGCCGGCGATGGACAGGAAGAACGCGGCGTCCTTCTTCTCCTTCAGGTAGTTCAGCATAGCCTAGAGAAAGAACAATATATATATATATATTTTTTTTTTTACAAATTATTACAATCAGGAATAAATAAATGAACATACTCAAAAAATCACATTAACAAAAACGACCACAGATACACCCATTCATATACATTCTTACACCGATAAAAAAGTAATCACACTTTATGTCACACGGTCATAACTTCACTCAAACATAGGGCACTCACCGCCTGGACGTCCACGTTGCCACCGCGCAGAATGGAGATGCCCAACTTGAGTGTGTTCATAACCATATCGCTGGGCTGACCTCTGGCGGCAGAGACGTGCAGCAACACCATCTCGCTGACGCCTCTGTTGGACAGTCTCGCCTGGTGGAACAGCAGTTTCTGTTTCTCCAACTCTTGTTCCTGCGGGGGAGATGGAGACGTCAGGAAAGGAATATCTTTTCGAGTGTCTTTCTGTTGCTATTGGGGGAATCGAGAATGGACAGAGAGTTAATGGAATTCCTAATGATGACATTGAACTGATTGTGTGCTTCGTTCCTGAATGAATGATTAGTGAGTAAGGGAAAGGGTGGGGAAGGTGCCAGATACTAAGCGTGAAGAAAGTACACTGGTGATAATAAGTGTGCTAATCACAAGAATTAATCATGTGACAAGTACGCATAAAAATGACAAAAAGGGAGAAGAAAAATCGTTGTTATTGCCATCAAAAGCAGAGGCTTCTCCCCCACTTACCATGAGGTCCTCCATGGTGCGGGACCGCCCTCGCCGCGGGGGTGCATGTGAGTGGAGAAGAGAGGTCAGGTCAATGCGGGGGCAAGACAGGTCAAGAGGGGAAACTGATCGTCTATCATGCAGAACCGGATACAATGGAGCCAGATTAGTTGGGAGAACACATCTATAGACAACTACACAATGTTAGTGCTAGTTAAATATTCGATATTGTTATTAAGATATTAGTTCTATGGAACAAATAAACAAGTGTGAATTTAGTTTGTTAGTTGGAAATATATATATCTGTGCATGTTTAGATGTATGTATATGTAGGTGAACGGGGTCCGTTTGCGCGCTTTTGAATTACTTTATACATGTGCGTCTTCTCATGCATGTAAGTTGTACACTAGCTACCAAAGTTGTCTTTAAAATTATGTGCTGTGCAATCTGAAACAGTGAACAATGATATCTGACCATCTGGCTCTGTTATCTGCTGCCACACCATGCAACAAGTGTCAAATAACATCGTAAACTGTTGCAGATTGTACAACAAATAATTTTCCAGATATTTTTGGAAGGTAGCGCAGATAAACTAACGTCGATGAAAACGCAAAATCAAACAAAGTTAGTCTAGTAAAAAAACACAGGAACATGACGTACATTAAGAGCAGCTGCTGGGTCCTCATTGCCTCCTTCTTCCTCTCCTCCTCCTTCTTCCTCTCCTTCCTCTTCTTCTTCGCCGCATGACTTAGCTGTGGGAGAGACGTAAGGAAGAGGTAATTATTATATGGAATAGGGATTTCGTCTTTCGGGTTATACTGCATGTTTTTATGAGCATTCACACCTGCCCTAAGTAATCCTTTTATTCTACTCATTTCACGAGACATTCACTGTCTTTACTCATTTGTGCTTCATTTTTATTCAAGAACGATTAACCCTCATATTATCTTCATTCAGGAGTATCTCAAAATCCTCACTCGCATATATACAATAGTCGCTGCCATTGGACCCTATCTTTCATCTCAGATTCCAATGTCTGTGTCAGAAAGTCACTGAAATAAGATTCTCCTTTTCATCCTAGTCTCACCTAACGCCACTATCCTCCTTCCTTTTATATTCTTCCCTCTCCTCTTCACTTCTTTCTACAATCCTCATCCTTCCGCATATCCTACCATCTCTTAGTCTTTGCCTTCAGCACCCACAATATCCATACTTCCTCCCGCCCTCTATTTCCTTTTCCATTCTCTCCCCCCCCTTCTCCCTCCTTCCACTCGCTTCCCTCCTCACACCCTACCAGCCCTCCCTTTTCGGCCTCGACACCAACAAACTCACCCATAATATGCTTCCTCCCTTTTCTATCTCATTTTCCATTCTTCCCTCCCCTTCTCCCTTCTTCCCTTCATCCCCATCCCTCCCCACATCCTACCATCCCTCCCCTTCCCCCTCAACATCCCCAAACTCAACATGACACTCATCCTTCCTCCTTCCCTCCATCCCAAACCTTCCCCAAATCCTACCATCCCTTCCTACTTCTTACCGCCCCTCC